CGCTTAAATAGTTGGAATCAACGTTCACCCGGTTAAAATATTCGATTTTGGCAAAGAATCCAACATCTGCCACTTTGACTCTTGTGACCCTTGACCGACTTTCCCCCCGGAAAAATCCAAGATCCGACACTTTGGCCTCCGGGAAAAATTTTTTTTTTTCATTTTTCATTTTTTCCACACACTTTTTATAGTTCTGAATAGCCCATCGCTTAAATAGTTGGAATCAACGTTCACCCGGCTAAAAAATTCGATTTTGGCGAAAATCCACTTGCCCCGGAAAACCCGAAAATCTGACCCTTTGGCTGGGGCCAAAAAAAACGGTTTCTCAGTTTTCACTTTTTCCACATACTTTTGACAGTTCTGACTAGCCCGGCGCTTAAATAGTTGGAATCAGCGTTCACCCGGCTAAAATATTCGATTTTGGCAAAGAATCCAAGATCTGCCACTTTGACCCTTGTGACTCTTGACCGACTTTACCCCGGAAAAATCCAAGATCCGACACTTTGGCCTCCGGGGAAAATTTTTTTTTTCATTTTTCACTTTTTCCACATACTTTTGACAGTTCTGACTAGCCCCGCGCTTAAATAGTTGGAATCAACGTTCACCCGGCTAAAAAATTCGATTTTGGCGAAGAATCCAAGATCTGACACTTTGACCCTTGACCGACTTTCCCCCCGGAAAAATCCAAGATCCACTCTGGCCTCCAGTGAAAAAAATTTTTTTTCATTTTTCACTTTTTCCACATACTTTTCAGCTTCGATAGAGCTGTAATTGTACGTGGATACGTCCATATTCAATCCTTCTTTCTCGAATCTCCTAGAAACTCCTTGCATTCCCTCGAATTTTTTCCCTAGAAATTCCTTAAATTTTTGCGAAATTTCAAGAAATTTCTCGAATTACCACGAAATGTCTAGAATTTTCTAGAATTCCGATACATGGCGCTGCACATAATGATCGTTTTCCAAAATGACCCCCCATATTGAAACCATAGACGTATCCACGTAAAAATGATGTCCATTATTCGGCCAACAACTACTATTTCATCACGCTGTGACGAAAAGTGAACTTTTCGGCACGCTCCGCGTGCCTAAAAGTCCAATTTCCGCCACATTGCGATGAAAAATATTGTTCGTAACTCGTGAAAAATTGTTTTTTTGCTCGTGGGATTATATCGCCTTCGGCTCGTGATATTAACCTCCCACTCACCAAAAAACACTTTTTTGCACTCGTTACGAAATATACTATTTTGACACTGCTGCTACATTCACCTCGTACCGAAAAGGGCCTTTTCGTTTACACGTAAACGATAAGTAAACAAGAAGTCTTTTCGTTTACTGGTAAACGAAAACGGTACAGTTCGGCGACTCGCTGAACGTAACATCACTGTCAAAAAATATTGGGCATGTGAGACGGGAATATTCACGAGCGTGAAGTTGGCGGCCCGAGGCGAAGCCGAGGACTGCCAATTACACGAGCTGAAATTTCCGTCTGACTCGTATCGAGATATACTATTTCCCGCCTTGTGAAAAAATATACAGTTTTTCAGAGTTTGTAAAAAGTTCCGTGTGCCTCTCAGTGCTACCTTGCAGCCATTCAATATCGTAAATCGAAAAATTATCAACAAAATCTAAAAGTTGTTTTGGCTCATTAAAATAATGGGAATACCCCATACGGAAAATTGCTACGGAATCTGTCTCACCGAAAGTACGATAAAATTCGTTCCATTCGCTGCCGTAGTATTTCTCTGTATTGTCGTAATGATCAAAGTCAAGAGATAGCCACCAAATGCAAGGAATGAAAGCGTAGTTATGGCCAACTGAAATATTTGGGATATTTTTGAGTCTTTTCCCTTTTCTTCCCAATCACCATGGCGTCGTATTGATTTGTTATTGATTCCTCTGGATGAGGAAACCATGGGCAGAGCAAGAGCAGCTCTTCCTTCGAGGTCCTCCACAAGAGTAACATTGTCTAAGGCTAAATTTTTCAAAAATTTTCAAAATCAATTCGCAAATTAATCACTAGATTTATATTCATTCACTCACCCACGTCTTCCGTTAAACTTAACTTTATTTGAATCAGTTTCGTCATTGGGAGTTCACTGAGACTACGTAGTCCATTCGAATGAAGGAATATTTGTTCAAATTCACCAGTTGCAGCCATTGCGGCACATAAGAATAGCAATTGCAAAGTTCTCATGAATCCCATCTTCGGAGGTTTGACGTTGCCGTTTTAGTTCCAACTAGATAATTTTGGATCCACCTCGTAAGTGTCACAACAGCTATTCCGTGTCTTTGCGGTCGAGTAACAAAGCGTGAAGTTCACCACCTTGTATCCTGTTCAAATTTTGTGACTTGATGGAAGTAAATACTGCATTGTACTAATACCCGTTATAACAGTTGAGAAGTGACACTCAGAAATGTGGACAGACTGTGGTACAATGTCGATTATTTTTGGTTTGTACTGCTTACTTTTAGTCAGACAAAATACGGTAGCAACAGCAAGTGAAAATGAAGGTAGTAATAATTGTACTTTTAGTCTTCGTACGGAATAAAAATACCCGAATGGGGGGATATTTTGTTCCCGAATCAGGTATATGCATAATCCTGAATCGGGAGTATTTCAATTTGGGGATAAATGATTTCATATCAGGTCCGGTTGTACCAAGTCATGTTAAGGGGAGACTACTGTGAGTTTTAAAAGTCGTGGGTTATTGGAGTGAGACTTTTCATACGTTGAAGATCAATTTTACCCGGGAGAATATCTTAAATTTATCCCAGGGATAAAAAATAGAATTTAATCCCAAGGTTAAATCAGTGGTGATTCAAATGGGGCTACAGGATAAATAAAAACGTATTCTTCGGGTCCAATTTTGAAAAATTATGATCCCGACGATATAATTGACCCTGAGGATAAATTTTATCTGGTGCAATCGGGCCTTATTCTATTAATTTGTACTGTACCAAGGCTCAATTTTTATAATGATGAACAGTAAATTTGGAGTGTAGCGGGTGTGATCCTCGATTACTATGTTCCCACAATAAAAAAAATTCCATATTTTTTCCGTTCCCCACGGATTCAGGGGTATTATATATTCGAATCGAGAATAGTATACGTGAACTAGATCTGTGCGCGCGCTTCCGCGCGCGCTCATCTTTTTGTTGTGAAAATGAAGAAATCGAATTTATTAAACTTCATATACTCATAGATGTTTTATAAATATTGATAATGACTTAAAGAGAATTAAGAGAATGAAGAGTGAAACATCAATGAATAATTTTTAATTTTCGATTAATTCTTTTTTTTACTTTTTAAAATAATCTGATTGAAATCTGTAATTGTTGAAAAATGACGGGAGGATTATAAATTAATTTCCCAGAAAACTGAAAAAATTTCTTGAATTCTTCGGAAAATTCCAGTTTTCCAGATAACCGTAGCTCTTCAAAGATTTTTCTCGAATTATTTGGGAAACCGAAGAATTTTCATGAATTTTGTAGAGTTTAGAATTTATGTATGAAAATCTGAGAAGCAAGAATTAATCATTTGTGCGTATGATAAATATGAAAAAATTAAAATTTGGGAAGTGAAGAATAATTTGTGTTAAAAAAATTTAGAAATACTATGTTTTTTTCTCATGATCAACAATTAGGCAATTTAGATATATTTTTTGATATAGAGATAAACTTCATACATGAAAAAATGAAAAATATGACGCAGAAAAAAAATTTGCCATTTGAAGAATTTGAAAATACTGGGGATGTTTTTCAGCGACTACTTCACGTGATTCATTGACCAATCAAAATTGAGGATTAGCGGTCAGGCAGTTTCGAGATATTTCGATATAAAACAACTTCACGTTTCTTTCATCTTTAGTAAATAGGATACAGTATATTTTATTCTCTACTCAGGAGTATGCACACACCTGATTCAGAAATTACATATGCCCCATCCAGGTATATTTTTTCCATGTATACATTGACAGTGTGAAATTATTATTGCAATGCGAAGGTGTACTCGAGAAAATAAAGAATGGGATAAAATACAGCAAAAATTATCTCGATACTGCTAAGGAAATTGCAGACCTTGTATCAGAAAGTCTGGGACATAAGGTACGAAAAGCGAAGGGTGATCAGAATAATGAATTCCATAAATCATCGAAACCGCTGAACTCTGGAAATGTTGCATCGGCTTTTTTTCGCCTCCTTGGCTTGGATTCAACGAGAATAGCAGCCATCGCAGTTAACAGCGCTATTTTTCTCGCACACATGGTATCTGTTTCTCTTTTACGTATTGATATTAAACTTCTTGACGTTTTGTGACAGTTTTTTTCATCACGCTGTGTGTAAAGTAATGTTTCACACATGCTACATGTGCGCCAAACTTCATTTCACACATCTTGTGATGAAAAACGTGATCTGATAAGCTTTTTGACTGATAAGCGCTCACACTTGCCTCCGGCGAATACTAAAAATCTTCCACAAGCCGAAAACCACTTTTATGACACTAGGCGCGATACACCGCTATTCGAAGCTCGCTTCGCGCGGTTAGATCGCGGTTTTCGGGCCCAGTGACATAATATACTGTATGTAAAAAAGCAATAGAAGTATTATCTGATAAGTGTGATCCTAATCCTCGCCTTCAGCTCGGATTATAAAATTTCATTCGTCTGATATACTGAGAAAAAAAATTATTTTTGCCAAATATCCATTTACTTGAGAGAAGTATTTATTTTGTCAATTCCATATTTCTCCTGCCGAGTCATTCCCGGTCAATTCTCATTAGGCTTCAATTGTGACAATTATATTGCTCTAGAAGATGATCATGTTAGCTATGATCGTGAGTGAACTCTCTCAATAATTATCAACATTGAAAAATTAATCAAAATTCTTTCCCTTAGAAAATAAGAAATTTAGGAAAAATTAATAATTATTGAAGGAGTTCATCGAAGGTCATGTACAGCATAGTCTTCCTCTAGAGCAACATGATTGTCATAATTGAAACCTAATCAGGCTTGTCTGGGAATGATTCGGATAGAGAAATTCAACTTTAAAAAAGTAAATACTTCTCCCAAGTAAATAGATATTTGGCAAAAATATATTTTTTTCTCAGTGTAGTATATTTCGATACAAATGCGGGTTTTTAATGAGTGTGAAGTTGGAGTGTTAAGTTGGCGGCCAATCCCACGAGCTGAAAAGTCCCAGTCGCACATGTGCTGAGCTATATTTTTCATCACGCTGTGCGAAAAAATAACTTTTTACGCGACGCGCGCCTAAAATGTCTCCTTTCCACACATTGTGATGAAAAATATCGTTCGTGACTCATGGAAAGTGTTTTTTAGCTCGTGGGAGGCATGAGCCAAAGGCGACTCCCACGAGCCAAAAAACACTTTCGCACTCGTATCGAAATATACTATTTGTGAGTAATATTACAATCAGCGTTCAACGAGCGGCGAACGTTGTCCTTTTTCGTTTACAAGTAAACGAAAAGGCGCTTTTTGGCACGAGGTGAACGAGACGACCAAAATATTTTTGGCCGCAGTAGTTACCAAAATATTTGTTTCGTGAGATGATATAATGTACTCTTTCGTACTGCTATTGAGATATACTATTTTAGGGACTAAGGTAAACTGCTCAGTAGATGGACGTTTGTTTTTTAGCAATTGAAAAAAAAAATGATCGAAAAAAATCGGCATTCACAACAGTTAGTGAAAATTCAAAGCAATAATTTACATTTCAGCATTTTTTGCGTATTTTCCTGTCCAAAAGTAGCTCGTCCATCTACAGGACAGTGTCGATCTACTGGGTAGCTTCCCCTACTCAACCATAAAGTTTAGTGTGGCGAGCTAATGAGTTGATACATCAATGATGAAGAAATATCGTAAGTTCCTTCGAGAACTTGTTGAATAAATTCAGAATTTTAGTATTCTGTGAGAATGGAGCACAGAAAGGGGAGGGGTAGGTTGTCTAGGTAACGCTAGGGGTTTGCTAGTTATATATGAAAATTCTTCAACAGTAAAGATCACTTATGGGCTTCCGAGAGCTCATAACGTTTAAGAATGGACCTCTCCTCACAATGATGCCTTTTCCATGTACATGCGTAAAAATGTGTTTTCTCTTGACAGATTAGTTCATTATTCAATATCAATTCTGGAAAAAGCACTGGACGGGATACTCGAGAGCACCCCAATATGATCAATCTGCTCGAATTTCTTATGAATACCAAACATGAAAGGGTAAGAAACTACCATTCCAAAGATTGAATATATTCATAATAATTGTGCATTTTTCCTTTTAGCTCCATAATTTAGTAGAACAAGCTCAAAACCCTGAACTTCCGAAGCAACTCGTTGACCAAGTGGATGGTTTGGATTCAGAATGTATCAGGCTGTTGTTGTGTAAAGTGTCGCCGGTTATATCAGCTGTGCAGAGGTCTCTGAATGATCAATTGATCAACAAGCGACATCAATTGACTTCCTGGTTGCCGAAACGAGAGACATTTGAGAGAAACTCTAATGTCTGTGAGAAAAGACATCTGGATTGTAACATTTTTCCAGAGATGGAGGAAGATCCAAAAAATTGGTAGACTCCATCCAATATCGCGTTTTTTATCCAGCACAGTGAAAATCATGAATTGTTCTCGATAGGGCTGAATAAAATAAAATCCGGACAGGAGCTGACTCACCCAGAGTCAAATTCTATTGAAAAGCTCTTCATCAATAAGTATCATTGATGATACTTATTTGATTGGTGTAGTATTGTGTTATAAGCAAGCAAGCAGAGTAAGCAAGTTAAGTGGTTATTAGAAAATTCCCAATTTTGAGTATATAGGACTTATACGCTACCTTCAATGAACATACAATCGGTGCGCTCTACCAGTTAACCCTAGTCTGGCCACCAAACGTGACCCTGCGACTCGGTCACCGACGCGGGGATTCCCCGCCGTATTATTTAGGCTTTAGCGTTGCCGAATTCACTCTACACTGTCCGGTTTCCGGCAACGTCGCATGTCGCGTCGCGTCCCGTCATGAACAATTTCATTTAACATGGAAAAAAATAACTCATCTGTCCGAAATAATTTGTTTTCTTTATGAATTTTAGGAAATGTGTTTTTCTTCAATTGACAAAGTCATTTTTTTTTTAATTTTTCCGTTTAGCCAGTCAATTGTAATTAAAGAAAAAATACGACGCGTGGCGGGGTTTTCCTCATAGGGTGACCAATCTAGGGTTAAATTTCGCAACAGTGAGTAAATTATTAGACATATGGCTCAGTCCATCGAATTGTTGTGATCAAATTCAGTTCTCAGTAGAAAATGTTTGGTCTACCATTACACTGGATAATTAACATCCTCTGGATAATTAACATGCTGGATTCAGTTCCTCGATGATTCATTGGAGCTGAAAGGGAGGTTTTATAATATGAAGTCAATATTTCTATTGGTATTATATTCATCATTGGAACATTACACAACTAGAAATACATAGATTTTGGGAAGCACGTAATTTGCGACTTGCACAAACGGCAAGTAAGTATACATAAAAAAAACTCAAAGTAGAACTAAATTTACTTGCTAAAGGACGGTGTGACTAGATCACTTGGATTTTAGTTATTCGTCAGTTTTAATGAGTTACATGGAAGATCAATACTGATTGGTCTAATATATAATATATCATCTCATAATTTTACTGTATAATAATTTCAACCTTCAAAATTGATCCGATATCTCCTTCAAGTTGCCCTGTGGGGCAGTCAAATAATGAGGATCCAATACTTTAAAAAGATGCCTAGTAGTCGTAGGATTATCCTTTGCGTTTTGATTTTTCCTAATTAGAGTAAAATGTTTGATTGGGGAACAAATCTGTAAAATTCGTAAGAGACACTTGATAGCCAATTACAAAACTTGAAAAACAGCTACATCAAAATTATTAAGTTGAAACTGACGTAAATGTGCCACGTCGACTCAACAATATATACTCTCTAATTGTCTAAAATCGAAATGCAAAAAAACAGTGATATTCTTCGATGAATGTGCTGTCCTGTTTCTTTACTAATCATGAAGGTACTTATGGCGAGGTGGGCATGTAGGAACAAGAAAAAAAACGATATTTCAATTCTAAATTTTCAATCTATGTCGACCATTTCTGTGTCCGAAATATTTTTTTAATAACTTTTCTTTAATATTTTTTTCCCAGTATTTCAACCCTTCTTTTATTTTTCTAGCTTGTCTTTTGGATAATTGGAACGTAATTAATATGGATAGAAAAAGTGACGTCGTGCCGTTTGAGGTTTGGCAGCACTGATTCACTCAGCTGTTATGTTCATTCCCATAGCGAAATGTATCATCACAACTCCATTCGTACTTGCCGTGCTTACCCCGCCACGATTTCCAATCTCGACGTTGTCGCTTTTTCAAGTTGCGCGCGCAGAATTCCTAATCTTCATGAGTTTTTTAATTATACCTTCTAAACAATTCTTCTAGGCCACTTGGATTATGTTTTATATTCTTCCATGAAAGCGCCACTCATGTACGAAATTTGAGGAAAATGGCGATTTTTTTTCTATTTTTAATTCATTTTTTTCCGAATTCCCATAAGAGCTCGTTTTAAACTGCATTTTTTAGAAAAATTCCTATGTTTCCCTCATTCTCCTAAGCTATTTGGTATTTTCCATAGAGGTTTTGAAAAAATCAAAGAATGTATAAAAAAAATATCAGTTTCTTAACTTTTTCCCATCCCCCATGACCACGCCATAAATACCTTAAGTCACCAGAAATAATATTTGATGTAGTTAACGACTGATAATAAATTTTTGCAGGAAAATTGAAACTACTGATAATCATGAAGTAATAAATAAGTTATCCATAAAATTAAAATTGACATTCGACTTCGCGAAAGAACTGTTATTTAATATTTGTAGTAAACAATCTGACGGTGAATTCATATCAGTCTGCTATGGCTACTAAGGGGCATTTCTTATTTGAAAGATCGTTGATTCACTGAAAAATAAAGTGTTTTATATTTCAAAGTGTCGCTTCTCCAGGGCTAATGGGATCGGTCGATTCCATGCGTGCTTGTCGCAACCAATCTCTCATGTTTCTTGTTCTCTCCATTAAATTTGAGGGACCACGTTCTACGGTGCCAACACTCGTAGTGAATCCACTATTTGGTCCATATTGAGTGATAATATTCTGGGTTGTAGTAGATGGAAGTGCTGCTGTCAGTTGAGATAAAATATTTGAATGAATATTGGGAGTTCCGAAACCTGTATGTCGAAAAATAACGTCAACTCAGAGAATAATTAAGCCAGTTCTGGAAGATATGGACTCTATTTACTTTGTGCATTGTTAGCTGAGGAGATGATGTGTTGATGAGAAAAACATCCCAAGTCAGAATATGATAATGTCGGTGGAGGCGGAATATTGTTGCCTTGGCGTTTATTCAGGACTCCCCAAATTTCACGAATTTCAGAATTCAAGTTTTCTAAGCTTGCGATTATCTCTGTCGACTCCTGATACTGATCTGGTTTATCTTCAAGAATTATAGAATATTAAATGATATAGTATTGATTAATATTATGATAATGACGCCTGATAATGAATGGCCTCTTACCAATAAACGTGTCTGTACCTAGATCAGTAGAACTGAATCCACTGCTGGCACTGGACATGTCGCTCAAAGTTAATTCATCATTCTTCAATGGAGCATTTTGATTTTCATTTCTTTTTGCATTCACTACCCTTTCAAGTGACTGCTCAGAATGCCTCAAGTGAATGATTTTTTCTCCAAGTAAGCTCCTAGTCCGATGAAGACCCACTTCCATCTCTGAGAGCTCTCGTTCCTCCTATAATATAATAGGTATTAATCGAGGAATAGACATACCTTGTAAGTTACATATTACATGAATCACACATTGAGTCTCTGATGCTTATATAATAGTGATGCCGCAAGAGCGTAAGAGAAATAAGCTACGACAAGAGTATTGCTGCAAGAAGCAAGACAAGAGACAGATTTTTCTCATGGTAAGAAGGACAAGACAAGACAAGAGGGAAGTTCATAAGAGGCAGAAGAAAAAAGATGATATGGGACAAGAGAAAAATAATTAGTAAAAAAATTCGTCGAAAACTCTCAAGTTATCAATAATATAAGGCCATTTTATTAAATAACACTTTATCTATCCCTGGATATTTTTTGAAAAATTATGTATTCCTCGATTATATTAATCTTTGTTCTCAAATATCGCATCTTTCGTTATTGGAGCTAGTGGAGATGAGCATTCCGAAGTAGCTTAGCTGGTGCATGTACCGCCCACATAAGGGAAATGAGTTTTTTTCCAGCCTTGCACTCTACAAGGAGACATAAACGGTTAGTTTGGGTTCTTCGAGGTGTTTACTGGGAAATATAAAAAGGACAGATTTTTTAAATTAACATTAAACATATTTATTCCTGTAATTCAATTGCCATCGGCCAGTGAGCGATAGAATCGAACTTTGAGCGTAATACCGCCTGGCATGCGTTCAATGCCGCCCACCTTGTATTGATTTTATTGATTATTGTTTCCATTCTTTGGCTCCATTTTGAGAAAGATTTCACGTGAATAATAATAAATTATCCTGAATTTACCCGATGTTCCAGAGGCCACCGACTACCCCAAACAATCGAGCTGTGACCCTATCGCCCTCTAGCTGCAGAGTCGAGCAGCCCTATAGAAACCCTGGGCGGCATTACGTACAAACTCTGGGCGGAATTACCCACAAACGCGGAGGCTGATAAAATAGCCAAGAATAACTGATGAAGATATTTTTCTGCTATCTAAAAGGCCGCAGTGGATGTGGAAATATATAACGAACGTATATTTCGCACTCCATTAAATTATAGACCAACTGAAAATTTGAAAAATCTTAAATTCTGGGGTCGAAATATTTTAAGATATCAGTTGAAAATGATTTGAATTTTTTTTTAACAATGTTTCCACGGGAGAAAATTGAAAATTTCTATTGAAATCACTTGTTGCAATCCTGCAAAGTAGCGGTGGCCGGTATTACGCCCGGGGGGTGTAGCGCCTCGCTACACACACCATCGCGTACCACACGCACGGATACGACACGCTGAGAGACGACTGGACATCGGTGACATCATCGCGCTTTGTCACGCGCCCAGTATAAAATACCTCTCGCTCGCACCTATTGTCACGCGTATCCAAATTCCCGTCTTACGCGATTTATTATGGTCAGTAGAGTCTAACACTGACCTCCGATCAGATCACTTTGATTATTCTTTCTCTTTTGTATATATATTCTAAACGTCTTGATTAAACTGTAATTTAAATACTAATTAATTTGTTAGTGAATTGTTACACCCAACTACCTCAATTATTACAGGGGGAGGGAGTTAGGCACCAGCTACCCTATTTATTTTCATGTCATGAACGTTCCCGAATTCTTTGCTTGAATTATTATGTGGAATTCTTGGCCCATGCATCTTATCCTTAAGAGATCCGATACTTCAAGAAATGCGATACACAAGAAATTAGTTTTGTAATATTATGTCGATATTACTGTCAGTGTGCATATGAATGTACATATAACAACGATTTTTTTTGTCTCTCTGCAACTACGAGGGTTGTGCGTAGTCTTGCCTTATCTTGTCACTTTTTCAGTACGATCGCGACCGACTTACTACGCGGTATTCTATTTACATCTTGCATTGATATAGTGACGTGAGGAACTGACAACAACACACAATAGAGAATCCACATTGTTGCAGGTGGTTACTTTATTGAAACCATCGCTCGTTCAGTGTTTTGTCAAGTTAGGAGCGTCCGTTTGTTTGATTTGAGACTCGAGAATAGACTCCCACACTCTAGACAGCTCGAACTTTCAAGATTCGCACCAGCAGAGATTGGAACTTTCAATACGGACTTTGTGATTTTTTGCTTTTTACACAAAAAAAACTAATTCAAGAAGAAGGTCAAGAAATTACTGGTTTTGGAGATTGACAATAATTGATTTTTATTTCTGTTTTCGTTTCTAAAACAAGACATGGCCAATTGATGTTCAGCCGGTATTTGGTCGTGACTTCCCGAGTCTTGTTTGATTCAACCGCATCGGCAAATCGTACTCGGATAAATCTTTTTTTTTTAATAAAAAAAATCGTCAAAAATTAACGATCTATAAATATAATTCTGTATCGAATGTTCTGCGATTTTCCATTAAATTATTTCTCGAATTATTTCTTGGGTCAATGAAAGATATTATTTTTATTATTGTCAACTATTTAATTGTTTCCCTCGTATAGAAGTCTGGAAAGTGGAAAGATAGCATATAACATTCTGCTTTTTATGTAATTTGTACCTTAAAAACATTCAAGATATGACAGAGTAAAATAGCCCGGGAATAATACAGAATATTTCTTAGGTCATTCTAAAAATTTCCATCGGGGGGATTTTAGTCGGGATATTTATAGAAATTCAATCGCGGATATCACTCAAATTCGAGTAGAACATTCATAGCCCCTGTATGGTTACTGTGGTATACCGAGTTAGACTGGGGAGTCTCTACAAAATGTAAAATCATGGCCAGTGAAATTCTTATAGGAGGGTATGTTCTTTGGGAAATGACTATCTGAGATATGGGACTATCTGAGAACTCAAGACTGGTCCGATAGGAGCTGTATAACTTTTACCTGGACCAACTGTTCTAAAGTAGCTTTGGCACTTCGTTGTTTCCATGTTCTCTGTCGCCCCTGGAAGATGCTGCGTTGAACTCGTAAGGCTTCTCGAGCACGCTTTATAGAGTCCCTCTCAACATGAATGCGGTGGCGAAAAAATTCCAACTCCGATGATGAATTTACTGGTGCTAAACACATGACGATTTTATTATACATCTTGCATTGGGAAGAAAATAAAATGATTTTCTCTACTACACTGTTAGAAATTTTTCAAAATTTCATGGAAAATATGGTATTTTGTCACGAGAGCGACATTGAATCACATTGAGGGGAAAAATGGTTATGAAATTTCAAGCTTTAGGTAGAATTCAAGGGAATTCGTGAGTTTTCAGTAGGAGTGACACAGAAATTTCACAACTTGACTGAATTCCCAATGGAATATGAATATTTATAAATCAAATGACATGAATTTTCAATTTTCTCTGAATTTTCCTGATTTTTCCGAACTTTTACGAAATAATTCAACTGAAAAATCAAGTATTCCATTGATTTTCAGATCATTCGAACAGGTCCCGGGTTCAAAGCCCGGTCTGGACTATCCATTTTTTCAGTAAAAATTTTCTAGTTACTCATATTGAGAATAATTCCGGTTGCCCTCCTACCTCATCCAAATTCCATCCAATCATTTCCGGTGATGTCACAAAGATGTGGAACGCTATATAAATTCCCTTCTTTAATGTTTAATGTAATAATCCATTGATTTTCAGATAATTTGAACAGAAAATCAATGAAATATTGAATTTTTAAATGACAAGATTCCCTGAAATTTCAGTGGAAATTAAACATGATAAATATCTCAGACGAAAATTTTTAACAGTGTATCCAATAATTGATTCATATCTGTAACTGAGCAACTACATAGATTGAATTAAAGAGTTTCAATCACCTTTATCCTGAAAAGGATATCGTAAAGTATACGCAGTCTCATTACTCGGTAATTGATCACCAAGATCTTCAAGCTTTTCCAGCTGCTTCCTGATATTTTCCACGGGATTCTCTATGCTGTCATTATTATTATTATTAGCATTATTAGTATGACTCTCACCATGCGAGTTTCTTGAGGCACCGGGAACTTTCTTTAGAAATGTTTTTCGTTTTTTCAGTACATCTGAGTTCATAGTTTCACTGGCGGTTGTGGGATCATCTGATTCACATTTCGCTGTATTTATCAAGTCACCAACGCGCCGGAATCCTGGTAGGGCTCTTTGTTCTTCGGATTCATCATCAACATTGCGATTTTTACCATCAAGTGATCTTGAATTCGAACTTAGGTTCCTCGATGGTGTTCTAATAATACGAATCAAGGCCTGTAGCCAGATATTATGACAAATGATATGGGGATGAATGACGGTTCTTTGAAATATTCGTTGAAAAGAGAGAAGTTCTAGCATCGCAAAGGTTCTTTTACTCAACAAAGCGATGGAGATGAAAGTTGAATGGAAAATAAATCAACACTTACTTTTGGTCAATCGATTCATCCCTTTCTGTTCTTGTTTTCGTAGAAGCCGACCTCTCAGTTTCTGACGCTGTCGTAATGCTTTCTCTTCTCTTACTTCGTCGTTCCACAGCCACACGGACTTCGTTTTTCAGCTTCAAGTACTTTTCCTTCAAAATTTTGTATTTATCCTCTAATAAGCGTTTCTCACAGCGTATTTTCTCAAAGTCTATCATTTGTTGTCGAGTCGCATGATCAGATATTTTCTTCGTTTCCCTATCTATTCCTCGTGACAAGTCAGATCGAATTTCGTCCAATCGTTGTTTATATGCTTTTCTTGACAATCGTTCCTGAAATTTTGAAATGAGAAAACGTCAACGGGCGCAGAAGGCACGATCGAAATGTGTAAAAATACTTACATCAACCCTAAAATCTCTCAAGATATCTGCCAAACATTTTTCATGATCTTCTGTAATCTTCGCGACTTTTTCACGCTGCTGTGATCTCAGCGTATTTTTCAAGTCACTAAATTCCTTTTCAAGTTCTTTTTTCATCACTTCAATTTTCCTATTATATTGTTGACTTAATTCATGCTCTGCTATTTTCATACTTCTATCATCATCTAAAGTATGCTCAAACTCGTTTTCTAGTACTTGTAACTCACGATTTCTCAATTCTAATAACTCTTTCTTTCGCTCATCTAATTCAGCTTTAATATTCTCAAGAATATCTTGTCGCTCCTTTTCATAGCACATTTCTAATTCACTCCTCATTTTTTTTAGGTTTTCTGTCCTTATATCGTCCATTTCCGAGATTAGTCTCTGTATTTCATCCTTTTCTTTCTCAGCCAATTGACGTTTTATTTGAGCCAATCTGTTTTCTAGCTCCCTTTCCATAGATTTTTGTTCATCATTGAAGTGAATTTCCAATTCTCTTCTTCTGTTTTCCAATTGCTCTTCAAACACCTTTCTCATTTTATTAATTTCCGCTTCTTGTTCTGCCCACATTTGATTGATCACATCATTAATTTTCCCACCCTTTTCCTGCAGTATTTGCGATGTTCCATTGGAGAGACCGTCGCGACGTGTAACATTAGGGATTTCATCCTCTTCGTATTGGTTATCTTGTTTATTTGGCTCGAGTGAGGCTTCCACAGTACTCAGCAGTGTTTCCCCACTCTTCATAGAAATCGTACGATTGTTCAAATTTGATTCCTGTCGACAAGTACGTTCTGCACTACAACTGTCTGTCTTTGGAATCAAGTCAATATTCTTCACCTTTGTGAATTTATTGATTGTCAAATGATCGTCATGTATATCTTCAGCGAGAAGTTGATTCATATGCTCTACTTCAGACACATTCTGAACAAGGAATCTTCGGCCCACAATTTTTGCACGTGCATTCGAATTTGAAGCAGTGTTTTCTTCAATCAGACTATTTTTTTGAAGCTTATTAGCATTGATATGAGGTACACCTGAAGATTCCAGTTGAAGATTTTGTAAGCTGAAGTTTTTTTTTAATGCTGTGAAAGAGGACTGTTTCCCCATCGAATCGGAGTCCCAGTCGTTATCTTCGGAACCAGAATACATGAATTTCATATCTTCCAGACCTTTTTCGAGATCAAATCGTACACTTTTACGCTCTTCTTCTGTAGGTCGATCGTCTGAAATAGTTGGGGGGCTCTATCAATCACCAATCGTTAAAAGATATTTCAATCAAATAGGAAAACAGGTGATTTCATGCGATACGAAAAAGGTGTTGAACAAATATACGGTCCCACTGGTGGAAAAAAATGATCTCGAAGGTTATAGGTGCTAAAAACTCTAGAAAAAGGTGCGACATTTATTTTTCATTTTTTTATTTATCGATTTTATACCTGGACGATGATCACTCACCATCTTCATAAGGCTTTTCTCGAAGGATAGATTTCGGCCTTTCTGTTATGTCACTGATGTCATTTGCGGCTGATGCAACATCAGTGGTATGGAAGTCCTGAATTTTTCCCCCATCTTGATTTGGTGTACTGTCACGGCTTCGGCTGCTTTTCAAAAACATAGATCCTCCACCGCTCAAAAGAAGCTCCTTTTGATTACCCGACTGATTTTGGTTTCTCTCGTTCTCTGTTCTTTCAGGTAGAGATTTCGAATCCGATTTTGTTAATGAACTAACACTCAATCTGTCAATATCAATAACATTTTCTTCTGAACTAAATTTATTGGATAATTGTTCCCAGTCTTTTTCGTATCTCGGACTCATAGACTCGGATCTTTTCACAATTTCTCGTAAATTAATTTTGTTCTCGGAATTCTTTGGTAGATTGGGGCTCTCATAAAATTGAGGATCTTGAAAGCGAAGATTGGTATAATCTCTAGAAGTACGCTCAGCTATTAAAGTACTGGTATTAAGAGATTTATCATCAGTGTTTTTTTTGCTGGCCTTCCGACGCGATGATTCAAGACCAATTTTTTTAAGTGGTGTTAATTTAGTGGGTATTTTTGTTTGAAGAACAGGTACCTTTGAAAATGGCGGGTCCTTGGGGAGAGTCACATCCTCGTGAGTTTCTAGGTCTTTGGCCGTTGTCTTTGAATCATCGTCTATAAATAGTCAATTCTTAGCGTGAATAAAAAACAATAAGATAAAATCAATCATTTCTATTAATATTCTAATGGAATTAATCTCATTCGACAACAACAGACACACGTCGTTTTCGACTCTCTTCAAGTACTCAAATAATTAACTTTATAGTTGGACGTCTTTTTTCTTAAGTGACATTCGTGTTTCATGAAATAGTAGATCTTGCACTAAGGGAGAAAAACAGGACATGTCATTTATCGGCTTCGATAAATGAAAGATTGACGAGCAATTTGCTCACAACAAGAAAACGATTTTTTGAGCCAAGTCAAGTGATTTTTGCATTAAAATACTTTGTTGTTGAGACTTAAAAACTGTTGACTAAATTGATTCAATTAGACTTGTTTAAGAAATCTCTTTCTTGTTATAAACAAATTATCCTCGTCTTTGGGACAAGTACAAAATCTCTTGACGAAAGTTTTTTCCGTCTCAGCGTAAGATATTTTCTAGTAAATTTTGCGCCATGAGTTTCTTGATGCAAGAGAAGACGTACTTATCGAAAAAAAAATTTTTTTTTATCAGTCCGTCATGAGAGGTCCGAAATGTGCTCGAGTCGATCCTCCTTATCTTGAATAAACTATTCCAATCAAAGTTTAAAACCAAGTTGGTGCGTTCATAGCAAAAACGTAATGCGTACCAGTACTGTGTCGCATGTTATGCCTAGCTCTTGATTCTTCAACAAGTTCCTTGTATTTGGCATCCAATGGATGTTCCCATGTCGTTGTTTCAGTTGCAGCATGATAATAGTACCAAGCATCCTGAGGCTCGAGATAACACGGTTGCCAGCCCTCCGGTAACGCTGCCATCAGGCCCTCCCGTGCCAAATCAAGTAGGTATGGTTCTGTTGCAGGATTGATTCCCAACCGTCTCGCATAATCGAGCACCTCTATATATGGAAATGATAATTTTTATTTCCGAACTTGTTTGTTATTTTCATATAAGATTTGAGAATCTTGCTTTCAGGATTCCATTATGATATCTGGGTACGCTGTTGGAAGTTTTACGAAATTTCATGAATAATGCGGTAGTAATTCGTAGGAGAGCGACATTGAATCCGATTTAAGGAAAGAACGGTTATGAAATTTCAAGTTTCATGTAGAATTTAAGGAAATTCATGAGTTTTCAAGGAGAATAGGACGGAAGTGTCACAACTTTATTGAATTGTCAATGAAACATGAATATTCAGAATCAAAACGACATGAATTATCAATTTTTCCCGGAAATTTCCTGATTTTTCCGAAGTTTCGTGGAATAATCGAATTGAAAAATCAAGTATTTTATTCATTCCTAGATCATTCGAACAGGAAATCAATGGAATATTTAATTTTCCGATGACAAGATTTCCTGAAATTTTAGTGGAAAGTGAACATGATAAAAATTTCTGGATTCGACACGGAAAATTCAGACAAAAATTTTCAACAGTGCAGCGATAATTAACACGTTCGTGAGGGAGTGGGGGTTGGTCGGTGATTGGTTAATTGAACACGCAAAAAAAATTTGAATAGACTATATTTTATACCAGAATCAAGTATATGTATAAATCTGATTCGAGAATAAAATATACTTGATTCAAGTATATTATTCATGACTCAAGTGTATAATATATTTGACTGAAGTATATTATTCTTGATTCGAGTATAAAATATACCTGATTTAAGTATATTTTATATTCGAATGGGGGACAGGTACTTCAATTCGAGGATGATTATTTCGTACCAGACTGGGTTGTACCAAGCGCTCTCAAGTGTAAGATCAGGGTCAGACATCAAGTGTGAGAATATAAGGGTCAAACACTGAGGGCTTGAATGTAAAGGTGAAGGAATGAGGGTCAGAATGGTAGAGTTAAAAAAAGAGGGTCAGAATATTATGATAAAAAAATTAGGGTCAGAATATAAAAGTGAAAAAAGTGGGTGTCAGGCAATGAGGATCATATCAGGGCTAAAAACGGTGATCAAGCATAATATATGACTCATATTTAGACCCTCATTGCCTGACACCCACATTTTTTTCTTTTATATTCTGACCCTAATATTCTGAACCTCATTTTTTAACCTCCACTTTTTTAACCTTATATTCTGACACTTGGTGCCTGACCCTTTCTTATATTACACTTAAAAGGGCTTACTACACCCGGCCTGATACAACAGAATCATCTTCGATTTGAAAATTGAGGATGGGCCTCAATTGAGTATAATATAATACGCTTGAAGCAAGTATATTTTATACTCGAATCAAGAGTAATATACTTGATTCTAGTATATTTTATACTCGAATCAAGAATAATATACTTGATTCAAGTATATTTTATACTCAATTCAGGTATGTTTTTTTCCGTGAACCTAACGAAAGATAATTGACCAGTCACCCACCAGTGTTCATAATCACTAACCTGCTAACGTTGATCAATATTTTTAATTTTCGAAATACTGTCCCACGCGCAATATGAAATACTGAAGCAAAGATCGGAAATGTCCTGTGGTTCTAGGTCAAACATCTATACCCTTTTTTCGATCGCGTTTATGAATGGACTATATAGGGCGTTCCACACGACCCTATTTGCCGGTTGGAGAGTTCAAATGGCCAAATTGAAACCATGCAAAAAAAACTTTATTACAACAAAGCGGAAACTCGAGGTCCATTGTCGAACCTGACGAGAGATCGTCGTAAAGTATTTTCGCACCAATTATAGATATTCTACCGTCGTATATACCTTCTTCAGACATGTCTTAACTTTATTGCATTGGAGCAAGAATGCGAGGATTTCCTTGTGAATAAATTATTATAATTTATGCTGCCGAATTGAACCTTTGTAATTCTTCAAAATTAAGTTTCCAATTTGTTTGTGCTATGGTAACTAAATATAGTTTAAAAACTCCGAATGTGCGATTTTTAGATGGTGTATGTACGTATGTATGAATTTGTGTATGTAGGCATGTGGCCTTTTTTCCTCATTTTAAAAAATACTATCTTATAAGGCATCAACCGAATATCATGCATTTTTTCATGAGTATAGACTTCAATAAGTTCTATTCATTGACCTGAATGATTAGAGAACGACGGTAAATGCTCTCCACCAAATTTTTTGTAATGCATTTAGTGATGCCACGAGAGACTTCACGAGACTGCCCTTTGGAGAGATGGTCTCGGTCTCAATGAACATGAAATCTTTTTCGTCTCCGTCTTGAAAGACAGTATCGTAATTAATTGTTAAAAGTCGAAGATTTCAAACGCTTTGAAATCCTAATGACGTCACACAGACGGTCGAGTGCTGTGCCAATCATAGAATGGCGCAAGCCGACCTGACCCAATCTTGCGGTGCGCCTCGGCCAATGCAAGATGACAACACCTCACTCTCGTCACATGCGACCAATGAAGCGTTACCTGACCGTCTTCGTGACGTCATGACCGGAAAATGGGTCTCGAAAACGACTGATTTTGAATTAATTATCATCTGGGCAATAGTTCTCCATGATTTGACGTATGAAATAATTCAATAGAAAACCTAGCGAATTCGCAAGAAAATTCTGTTGAAATACTATAGAAATTCTATGGGGTTTCTATAGGATTTCTATTGTAATTCTATTGAAAAATTCTCCTCGTTTTTTGCGCTGATTCTATTGAACATTCGATAAGAGAAAGTCACTAGATTTCGAATTTCTGTTTGAATTTTTCTCTTGAGATTTTTTCTATAAGAATGCTTCGGCATCAATTTTCGAAGTTTTTTCTACTCCGATTCTGCAATACAAAACAAAAGAAAATCCAGCGGAAAAAATTTAAAAAATTTGTGCCCAATAATTCTAATAGAAAAATTCAAACAGAAATTTGAAATCTATTGACTTTTTCTTATTGAATATCCAATAGAATCAGCGCAAAAAACAAATAGAATTTTTCAATAGAATTGCAATAGAAATCCCATAGAATTCCTATAGAATTCCAATCCAATTTTCTAGCGGATTCGCTAGGTTTTCTATTGAATTTTTTCATGCGTGCTTCGCCGTTTAGCTATCCATATGTTATGAGGAATGTGTGAATTAGAAAGAATTGAGCTTCATGCAAGTCCCCTAATATATTTTAACGAAAAACAAATGTAGAAAAAGGTTTGAAAGCTGAAAGAACTCGACAGCATTAATGATAAGAACTTCAAATGAGGTAGAATTAAATATTCTATGAGGCTGCTTGGCCAGGTGGGTCAAAATATGGGGGCGTATGGAGCGGCCAGGTACTCCAGCTGTCTGGAGCGCACGGGTAAACTATTAACCAGAGAAGGAAGTCCATATGGGGCTGGAATCGTTACCGCAGGAGCGTTGCAAGGCACCGGAAAAGAGTAACTAGAGAAATAAATCAACTTATCATCAGTCCCTATTTTATGATTATAAAGATCATTTCATGAAATACATAAAAAAAGCAGCAAAATTATGAAATGATTCACGTTAAAAGCAGAGGACATTATTTTTGCGGCATCACAAAGTTATTGATTTTCTTGAACGTCGAGGTGTCAGCGCCATTGCGTAGAGATGCTGATGTAAATAAACAAATACACTCGTGAAATTACATTAATGTAGTTATAGTGCACGACAATCGACGCATTGGTTGATTTTCTGTAGAGCGAGTATTTTTGAAAATTTATAATCTTTTTCTCCGCGAAATGAGTTCAAACTTCCGAGCGGAGGAGAATATGCGAAAAAAGGAGTTCCATTGAACGTGAAATAATATTTAACACATTGGACATTTAACAAGGATTTGCGTACTGCAAATGTCATGACAGACATCTGTGTAATGATTTAAATTAAAAATCATGAGATACACTCACCATCATTTGATGGATGCGAGGCATCATCGAAAACCTCCTGACACAATATCGTTGCACCATTTTCCTGAGAAATACTCATATTCTTTATCTCCAATTGTACCTTAATTCGTCATTCGTAATCACTTATTCTCATTTAACGATTATTCCATAAAATAGAAATTTCATACGATAATGTAACACCATCATAATATCAGCGGTTGCGCGGCTAGAATACTGTGACGGTCAATGTTGATTTCAAGTTGAAAATGAGGGTGGGAGGTTATAGAGTCGACAGCAGCGCTATACTCGCGTGGTTTTCACGGGAACTTCATCGAAATGGATAAAAGAATAAGGCGATGAAAAAGAACTGCTTTGCCTGCGATGCATACATACGTAGTTTACCGGCAATCGAATGTTTTGTCCGGCTCTCTCGATGCAGGATTGTACCAACGCATGGGAAGGAGAACAAAGCCTATAACGTTTTTCTTGCTCCCCTTACTGAGTCAGTAAGCTCGCCGTGTTTCAAAACAATCAAAACAAGTTTTGTAGTGTTTCTCGATTTTTTGTGCCGTCTGTAAAATAAGTGACAACTGACAATGGCGTTATCACTTGTTTTAGCAACTGAACAGAAAATCGAGAAACACTACGAAAATTGTTTTGGTTGTTAATAAATGCGCCGAGCTTACTGACGCAGTAAGTGGTGCAAAAAAAACGATATTGTCTGGGCCGAAATTCTTCGCGTTTAAGGTACTTTATACTATATTTCGTCATTAAGCCGAACAAAACTTTTCTGGCAAATATGAGGTTACAAGACTAGCCGAAGGCGAGTTCTGTAATCATATGAGGTAGGAAAGTTCCCACGGCCGCGTGTCGAACAATATTTTTTGTCATTAGGCCCGAAAACTTTCCTAGCTCTTTCACGCGTAGCGTCCGTGAAATGCTGCTTTACGGCCGGAAAGACAACAAAAAACCTTAAATTTCAACCAATTAGAACCACGCATCCAGAATCCCTGCATTACCGATCGGGAAATGTAGCTCCGAATGGTTGAAATTTAAGGTTTTGGACTTGAACTACTTTTCTGCCCCATACACTTACAGAACTCGCCTTCGGCTCATCCTGTAACCTCATATTCGCCAGAAAAGTTCCTCACGGCTCAGTGTCGAAATGTACTATATGCTTTTCGATGATGTGGATGCGGTAATTCACACGTATTAAACCGGTGCGAAGATACGGACGGATATCCATCCGTCGATATCTCCCCGCCATATGAAATGTGTCCGGTAGGTGACGCTTCCTATAAGGAATTTTCACAAAATGACCCCCCGAAATGAAGCCATGGACGTATCCACGTCAACAGAGCAGTGTTACCAGATTGTGATGTCACCCCATTTAAAATTGTACAGGTTTTGGCTATAAATCCCCAAAATCTGGCAACCCTGCAACAGGGTACATTATGGTGTAATGTAGTGGAGGCTGTAACCGTGCTGTTCCAATGTGCAGTTTACGGCGTGAAGCAATAGTAATGCTAGGGTGCCTGTACCATGTATGCTGAGCCGATATTGTAGGTCGTTACGCTATCTCGATCGTCAGCCAATGATTGCCCGGTAACAACCCCAACCCCGGAATTGCGTGTGGCAGCACGCGTACCGTTATTGTACTGTTCCGCAGGCGATTTTTTTATAATGTCTATTCATCAACTGATACCAATTCTTTGGATGAAGGTGACGAATCAATAATTAAAAGAATACACCAAACTTAAATCACGCAGCAAAGTACACTGAGAAAAAAAATTTCTAAGAAATAGAAATTCTATGATTGATCCAAATCGTTCATCGATTGAATAGTCGCAAAAGAAAATGCTATTGTAAGAAACAAATATCGATTTAATTTTAATGTTTTCGATTGAAAAAGAATGAGATCAGTTGTCTAAACTTTTTTTTTGTTGCTATCTACTTTTCAGTACATACAAAGCAATGTCTGTATTATCAGATATCTTCTTCGAATAAAGCATATAATTATCCAATTTATCAGCGTCACGATATCCCGCAAAAGAATATCTGTTCGATTGAAAGCAGAATTCATAGATGCAATAAAATATTCATTTGGCCTATGAGGAACATATTGTTGGATACTCATTGATGCGAGACTTTCGCGAAGCGCAGTTTCTTGTTTACGACAAACGCAATTCTTCATCATTTGAACTGATTATTTTTCCATTGCAATTGTGAAAAAAAAATTATTTGCGCCAAATCCGAAGCGTTTGAACTAAACCAAAATTGAATTGTATGAAATCGATTTTGTCGCAAAAACAAGTATTTTCTAAATTCGATAGAATAAACAAAATATACTATACTATAACAAAATCGATTTCATACAATCCAATTTTGGTTTAGTTCAAATCGATATTTGTGTCTTACAATAGCATTTTCTTTTGCGACTATTCAATCGATGAACGATTTGGATCAATCATAGAATTTCTATTTCTTAGAAATTTTTTTTCTCAGTGTATGAATATTAGAACTTACATGTCGAGTATGAAGAGCATCGCATAAGTCGGTTATTTTGTTGATTTTCATGCGCAGTAAACTCCCAAGATAGAATATTCTCACTTGGAATATTTTCCAACTAGGAATATTTTTGTTCTCTCACTTGGAATGTTTTCTTAGGGCCACGGGTGTGGGGGATAATTCCTTGTTGGAATTTAATGTTTCCTAGGATATTCCATGTTGGAGAGTTTGCTGTATTATTACAAAGTTCGATTTAAATGGCTAGCAGGTGAGTGAAGGTGCTGATTACTATATAGGTCGTGGAATACCTTTAGTGGTATACCAGTGGAAAATGTTCAGGTGTAATAAAAAACTAGAGCCGCGGACGAGACTCAGACGAGACTTCACTTTTAAGGAACTTCCGCAGTAAGTATACTTGGTGAAAATTTCGAAATGGTATAAAGACGCAATATTTGGATCATATGTTGTTGAGCATATTCAAAAACTATTCCTAAAATTTCAAGTACCTTGTCCACCCCATTTTCGAGATATACATCGTCAAAAATGGAAAAAACACAAAAATTGAATGTTTGGCGATGCATATCTCAAAAATGGGGTGGACCAGGGACTTGAAATTTTTGGAATATCTTGTTAATGTGGTCAACAACATATGATGCAAATATTGCGTCTTTATACCATTTCGAAATTTTCACCAAGTATACTTACTGCGGAAGTACCTTAAGAGATTGTCTCGCTCTAAAAAAACATGGAAATTTTTGGAACTGTCTCAGTCTCAAAACGCTTACTATTGTCTCCTCTGGTCATGACTTGAAAATAATTTGTCTCGTCACAGACTTCACTTTTTCCGGTTTTTCATGTTTGGTCTCGGTCTCGTAGACGTCAAAGATAGGAAACAGGAGAGAACGAGACGAGATAAATTTTCTTGGAGTCATGAAAAGTGTAGGCATCACTATGCCTTTCGGGATTGAGGCAGTTCCGAAAATTCTCATGTTGTTTTAGAACGAGGCGATCCTTCTAAAGTGAAGTCTCGTTTGAGTCTCGTGTGCACCCCTATGAAAAACCACTATATTTCCGCGGGCTCTCTACGTGGACATCACTGTTGTGTATAAGAGTTATGCCACTATGAATGCAACACCAGGTGTACGAAATGCTTGCAATTGTCACAAATAATCGCAAAATAGTAACTGAATTTGGCCATCAGGGGAGTCATCTGTCTCATTTCCGAAAAGCTGCAAACCCCGCGAATGATGATACACAAAAAAAACAAATTTCAATTTGAGACTTACGATCTCAATTTGAGACTTAAAAATCTCAATTTAAACCCTCTGAAGAGTTCTGAACCCTTCAGAGGGTTTGTTAAGGGGGGACCCCGGTGAAATTTGAAAGTCTTCGGTGAATCTGGGGACTTATTGAGTGACTTTAGTTGTATGATGGAATATGTTAAAAAGTGGGAAAAATCCCGGACCCAATCGGTTTTGCCCCGTACTTCCATGGAAATAGTATTTTTCCGGCCTGTTGCGATGGGGTTTTTTACGCGTGTGGCGTTGGCCTCCGAGCCGTAGGCGAGGACTGGCCAACCACACGAGTAAAAAAACCCCATCGCAACAGCCCAGGAACAATATTTTTCTGTAGTGATTTTCAAGTTTTCGAGTTTGGGAAGTATATAATACCAATTCCCAGACGAGAAATCGTGAGAAGCAGTATAGAAAATGTCGTTTTTCGTGTTTCTACCTTTAAAATGTTCATAGTTCCCCAATTTTAAACCGATTTTATTTTATTTTTTTCAAAATGTTCGTGAGACTCCAAAGAACGAAGTTAAGTTTCCGTTTTACGATGTATTATATAGATCATGAAAAAATATAAAAAACGAAAAAAAAGAAAAAAAAATTAAAAAAGGGGTTTTTCTTCTGATCGTCAACTATTCAAAATAAGGACTTTTCAGGCATAATAAAAAGACAATCAGAAGGGAAAGCCTTTTTTTCGGTTTTTTCTTTTTTTTTCAATTTTCCCATGATCTATATAATGGATCGTAAAACGGAAGCTTAACTTTGTTCTTTGGAGTCTCACGAACATTTTGAAAAAAAAAATCAATCGGCCTTGGCCTTAGCGGAAACACATTTTTAAAAGATTTATTTGCTGTCTAAAAGGGGTGGACTCCCTATGACAGATGAGGTATCCATCATCATAAAAACAAAATTATCATTTCTGTTTTATACAAAGTAAAAGGAGTAGCCTAAACCTGAATAGTGTTGCATGAAGTGACGAAGCAATATCTAAATTTCATGACCAGAGATTAAAAATCTAGCAATCAGTTGAGCAGGATTAACGTACTTTGTTGATTGACTCTCAGAAAGATAACGTCAAGGCAATCGCGGTTGAAAGGAAAAAGAAAAGAGTCCTGATAGAAGTCTACCTGGAGAATTCAGAAAAGGCACGAAGTCAGATGATGACTGGCCCTGTAAATGAGGGCAGATAGATTTCAGTAGTGAAGTGGTCAATTGGTTGAAGTCGACTCAGCTCCCAAGTTGAGTTTTTGTTGAATAACTCGGGATTTAAGAAAGATAGCGAAATTGTTGTAAGATCTTTTTCGATAGTCTTAACTTTTCTTTACAAAAAAGATTTTTAGAAAAATTTTGCCGACTCCTTTAGAATTGGAGATATTCATCGAGAACTGGGGTTAGAATGGAATTGACTTGAACCGTTTAACGACTTCAATACTGATTTGGAG